GGGGGGGGGGGCGGAGGGGTTTAAAGCACATATGACATTTGCAAGCCATGGAATGTGGCTTCTGTCTTTATCTGAGCTCATGTAACTAGCACTCTAAAATCAATACTCAAAGGCTTTTTACAAGCCTTTGTCTCAGGGTACATATGGCCAATGAGAACATGGAAATTTGAACACCACTCAATTTGAGATTCCTGAAACTACAGTAACTAGGAGTACTTTTTTTAGTACTAAAAAAATCACATTACTATCAATAGTGTACTGAGAAGAACTGCTTAAAGCTTTCAGTATAACATCTAGATCTCTAAAGTGACTTAATGTAGCAACCAGCAGAGTTTCTAGGGAGGTACAGTTCTGCCATCTCTCCAACTGCAGTCAGATTTGGCAAACATGATTCTACTAAACACTGAGACTGATGGACATGCTCTTTACCTGTAGCTACCAGCTTACTGTTTCTTTCAAACTGCAGGAAGTTTGAAGAAATCTACCCTCCTGAAGTAGCAGAGTTTGTTTACATCACAGATGATACTTACACCAAGAAACAAGTCCTAAGGATGGAGCACTTAGTGTTGAAAGTCTTGTCATTTGACTTGGCAGCTCCAACAATAAACCAGTTCCTCACTCAGTACTTCCTATACCAGCAGACTAATGTTAAAGTGGAACATTTATCAATGGTAAGTATGGATTTGGAGTTAATAGACCTTTCTGGATGCATTAGGCTTAGTACTTGTGGAGCTTTCAGGCTTGCTGTCATTCCCCACTGGAGAAGAGGGGATGTGCCAATTGTGTGTATTTAAAAAAAAAAAAAAAACTTTTACTTTTTAAAAGATCTGAAAGCTTAGAACTGGCAGGCTGAGAACAGCAGCTTTGCTTCCCTGTCTGGTTTCTAGAGGTTGCAGCTGGCACTCTATTCTAGTGATGAGCCTGCAGTACTCTAGTGCTCATTATAGTGAGAATTGGCCATAAAAGATGGCCTTTCATGCCTGTCACAATGAGAATTCAAATACTGGCTCAGCCTTGGCTGAGGGGACATAAATTCAATGGATGAACTACAGTAAGCTAAAATGTAAAGCTTATGTGATCTCAGGAAGACTTACTATAGTCTACTTTGTAAACATGTGGTGGTCTCTACAGCACTGGCTCCTTCAGGCTCATTGTAGACCGGGGTGGGCAAACTTTTTGGCCCAAGGGCCACATCTGGGTGGAGAAATTTCATGCAGAGCCATGAATGTAGGGCTGGGCGTGGGGTGGGTGCAGGAAGGGGTGTAGGTTCCAGCATGGCACTGCTTACCTGGAGTAGCTGTAGTGGGGCTATGGTGGCCTCCCCACCTGCCCTGGCCCTGCATTACACTGCTCCAGAAGCGTCTGGCACCATGGCTCCTGGAGGGAGGAGAGGCTCAGTGCACTACCCTGACCTGCAGGCACTGCCCCCCTGCTGCTCCCATTGGCTGGGAGTGGTGCCTGTGGGCAAAGGCAGTGCATGGAGCACTCTGCTGCCCTCTCCAATCCTTCATCAGGATGTGGTGCTGGCCACCTCCGGGAGCGGCACAGGGCCTGCAGTGCCCCGGACGTGGCAGTCCCGTGGGCTGGATCCAAAGCCCTGATGGGTTGGATCCAGCCCCTGTGCTGTAGTTTGACCACCCCTGGTCTTCACCAATATTTGACTAAATCCTAGCTGAGATGAAAAGGACACTGTTCTGATGTAAAACTAAACCCTCCCTTGGGACACAGGCAGCAACTATAGAAATAATCAAAATATTTTGAAATATATGAAGTGGAATAACATGGGCACCAGAGTATAGAACCAAATACTTATTTGGATCTGAGACATTCCTTTGAATATTAAGAGCTATATTTATATTGCTGCAAAAATTGGATGCTTGTCTTAAACACTGTATTGAAGGCTAGTTAACAAATAAGTGTTAGTGTACACCTCAACTAATAAGGAAGATGCTAAGACTGTAACCATCTTGTACTGGTGATAGCTTCTAATTGTTTGGCAATGACTTTCTTTACAGTATCTGGGGGAGCTGAGTTTAATTGATGCTGACCCATACTTGAAATACTTGCCATCACTTATTGCTGCTGCAGCATTTCATCTAGCAAGCTATACTATCACTGGACAAACCTTGGTATGTAGAACAAGTAGCTTTAGAAAAGTCTCACTTATAAGTAAATAGCCTTAAATACAGCAAATTGCAACATTCTGTATGAGCTGTTCTTGGCTGGCAATGCATAATTTCTATTAATAGGTTTTATCTTATATGGGGTTGAGGGTGTGATTAGTCTAATTTTTAATTGTCCTTAGTCAGAACTCAGTAATGGTTTCTACACCAGCCCATTGGCTAGATTCCAAAATCAGCAAGCTTCTAACAGTGGGTGACCCCTAGAGGAGTACTTTACAGAATATGGGGTGTGTGTGTCGTATCTTCCCCCCCCCCCCCAATATATCTTAGTGCTATCTCCAGTATTCTCCTCCTAAAGACTGTCTCTTGCAGGGACACTTACTTTCTTTACTGAAACAGTATTTTAATTCTTTTGCCTTAACTACTTGGAAGCACAGAGGAAAGGACCACTACTGGAAGAACAAACAGTTATGTCTTAGAGCCTAGCACAGTTGAGATGATGAATAGGATGTTTTTCTCTGATAGGTAGTTATAGATCCACAGGTATGGGTATACAGTGGAAGATTGCATGCAGCTTATGCTTCTTTGGCAGTTCCAGCTTGATATTTTCACTTTTGTAAAGTGTATTGGCATAACACTAATAGCTACTTTGCCAAGGAATCATGCATTTTGCTAGTACCCTTTCTACCTGCAGGTGGAGACATGGAATACCCACGGTCTAGAATAGCATTAAGTATAGCTTTGTCTTGTATTCCAAGTACAGTAACTCCTAACATTATGTTCCTGAAAAATGTGACTTTAAGCAAAACGATGCTAAGCAAATCCAATTTCCCCATAAGAATTAATGTAAAGGGGGCAGGGAGTAGGTTCCAGGGAAATTTTTTTCACCAAACTACATAGTGTGTGTGCACATGCACACACACTATATATGTGTTAAACAATTTTAATACTGTTCACAGCTATGATTGTGAAGCTTGGTTGAGGTGGTGAAGTTAGAGGGAGGAATATTTCCCAGGGAATATCTTGCTGCTAAATGATTAACTAGACTTGGTTGAGCCCTCAAGGGTTAAAATATTAATGTAGCCTCTCCTGCAAGGCTGCATGAACACAAGGGAGGCGAGAGCATAGCAGACAGACCCACACCTTGTGGGGGGGGGCGGGGGGGAGAGAGATGCACACTTCCCCTTTAAGTAAGCTGACCCATTCTTAAGTGTGTTGTCTTTTTAAGTCCATCAGGAACTTAGGGCAGTAGCTGCTGCCCCAAGCTCTCTATTAGTCTGTGTCCCTTCCCTGCTCTATATGGAGAAGGGGTAAGCCGGCTGCGGGAGCAGGGGGGAGGGGGACACCCTGACCTTAGCCCCTCCTGCACAGCAAGCAGGAGTCTCTGGGAGTAGCTCCAAGGCAGAGGGCAGGAGCAGCACATGGTAGGGGGGGGGACAGCTGAACTGCCTTGATAGCTCAGTGGGTGGCTGCAGCACAGGGAACTTAGGGGGGCTGCTGGTTCACCCTGGTTACAAGCCCCCACCAGCTAGCTGCAACAGCTGCTCTTCCTGCAAGCAGTGGACAAAGCAGGCGGCTACCAAACTACTTTAAAGTTGTGCAATGCTCCCTTTTAACAAGCATGTTCCCTAATTGATCAGCAATGTAACAACATTAACTGGGGTGACTTTAAGTGAGGAGTTACTGTATGGGAAAACTGCTGCAAAGTAACTGATGGAAAATATGGCATATTAATCTGACCAATTTATTTTCCCTTTCCTCAGCCTGAATCTCTGTCCAAAATGACAGGATATACCCTTGAAAGCCTTAAGCCTTGTCTCACGGACCTCCATAAGACCTACCTCAGAGCAGCACAACACACACAACAGTCTATAAGAGAGAAATATAAGAGTACAAAGTAAGTACCCACTTCTGTGGGTAAACTCCAGTACATACCTCTAATTTAAGCTAAGCAGGCTAGCTAGCCTACTCTGTTACAGTAGACCACTGAAGGTTGTCAGCGCACTCAATATTGGAAGTCTCCTCTTCCTTGCTTTTTTTGATGCAGGCATGACTTCTGTCACTGATTTGGCCACTGTCTGCTCATAAAATGAGCTAATAACCACAACAGATTTGATGTCTTGACTTGCAACTCAAGATGTAGTCTCAGTCCAGAAATGGAGACTGATTGCAGTAATTGCTTGGTGAAGTTCAATCACCTGTTAAAGAGGTGACCATTATGTCCCTTCTAGCCCTAAAAATCTAAGTACAAAATAGAGTTTTAAACCTATTAAGTGTTTAATTTAACATGTTCTGACCCATGGCAGACAGATGCTAGTTTACAAACTGTTAATGCTATATTCAGTCCTTAATATAATATAATCCCTTTAGCAGAGATTGTTCTAACATGACTACATCTGACACCCTTTTCTCCTTCAGGTACCATGGAGTATCACTCATTGATCCACCAGAGACACTAAATTTATCCTAACAATCAAGAGACTCTTAATGTGTATTATACTTGCAAGCAAATGATGTACAGTTTTAACTGGTCAATATTTTAGATGTCTTACAATCATTTCAGAATAATACCACCTGTGGTGTAACTTGAAATTATGAAGTTTGTTAGTTTTTATATGGTTTTAATGTAAATCTTTTTGTACATGCAATCTTGTTCTAAATATTTAGCTGGAGCTCTTTTATAAAGCTGTTCTGTTCAAATATTGAATTAACCATCAAGGTGAACTGTTAATGTTTTGTTCCAAAACTACTAGAATGTCCAATTAAGGAGCAGTACATTAAAATGGGGATTTTTTTAACTTTTGGAGTGACTGAAAGGCAAAGTGGTAAATCCAGTTATGCTGAACAAATTACAGACTTGACAACTATTTGTGGCAATATAAGATGCTATTAAGGTTTAGTTTCACTTGAGTTTAGATCAAATCTTTGGCTTTAACTGTCATACTGCTAGAACTGATTTGATCTAACTCTAATATAAAAAAAGTAACCACTTTGAAGAAATCAAATTGACTTCAGTACCTTGCAGGAATTAAATGTGGACTTGCTTCAAAAGCAGGCTTTCCAATTTAGTGCTCAAACTATCATTAAGTAGTAGTCTCTAAAGCAGCCATCTGATAGCTAGAACTACAACTGCTGAAGTGTCCTTGTGTGAACAGAAATGGCCACTTCTAGCTATTTTCTAGTCTAAGTGTACAACTGATACTAGTAAGTTCATGTAGCATTTTTACTAAAACTTTGGTTTCTCTAAAAGCTTCCTTGTAGTAAGAGGTTTAACTACAGCTTTACCTCCCCACTGCCACCACCCTGCTAGGAAAGCAAACTACAGCAGGGAAAGTGGCCACTGGTACTACACCCTCCCCTGAGGGAGAATAATAAAGCTGACTACTACAGCCTGAAGGCATGCCATGGATGGGTTATAGCTAGAGTGAGACTGAATTCAGAACAGCCCATTTGGACAGGCTTTTATGCAGCATGTAGTGGAAATCTTATGTCAATGTCAAGTTTTAATGGGTCTTCTGCTTAAGTTGTAGCACTCTGCTAATGTGGTAGTTGAAAATTTTTTTACTGTTAAATCAAACTGACCTTTTTCCTCCTGTAAACTTGTATTACCATTGCTCAAGATTTAGTGTGCTTAAAGTGTAAAGCAGGAACAGGGTTTAAAAGGAAATCATCTGCAAGTTTGTCAAATAAACCCTCTACTGAAGCTGATGCCAGTGGTCTTGCTTATCTTGACCTGCATTGATCACTGTAGCTGACTTGTAACCAGTGTGATATCAATGGTTCTAATTCAAAAGTGGGACTGCTTTTTCCATAAAGCAGGACTCAACTGTTTCTAAACTTGGCTTAAGACACCAAGAAATAAATGCATCTTCCTAGTCAAGCTAACTAATAGGAGTGAAAGCAAATTCCTTTTTTAATCTAACATGCCATCTTACGTGGGCAAGCTATAGCTTAACTCTAGTATCTAATCCAAACCTGACAATTGCCCCATGAGTCAGCTTGACAGCAATTATGTTCACTCTCATTTCAATTTTTTTAAATATGGCACAGCTAGCTTCCTTTATCAAGCAAAACCATTCTCTTCAATCCTATCAGTTTAACTATGCAGGCTGGGCCATGAGATGTATTTTAGTTTTTTGAAAGAGGGCTAGGAAGCTACTTAGGAGGCCGGCTCCTAGGCTTGAGTGAATCACCTGATTAAGAGGGGTTAAGGAAAGCAGAAGTAGAGGGTAGGCTTGGTGCCATGAATTTCCTGTTACCTCCCTGTGCATGCTTGACCATTCCTCCACTGGGCAAGGGGGAAACCATAGCCTAAAGTACAGGGAGGATTATATTAAGGACCCTCCAAAGATTAACAGGCTAAAGTCTCTGCCACAAGTTTAGAAAAAAGTCAATCTACATGTGGGGGTGTGTGCATGCATTCTAATTAACGTATCCCCACTAGCTTTAACTTTCATATGCTGTTTTTGAAATGCTCTAAATCATGCTCATAATTTTATATCATCCTTGGTTTAGTAGTGGCTTTGGCTCAGGGTTCCTGTGTGACTTGAGCTAACAACTGTGAGAATAGATAACTGTCTTGAATTGAAAGAAATGAGTGGTGGTATTCCTTGCTAAAGCTGCCCAATCTGATAGTGTGTGTGTATAGAGGAAAGGGGCACAGCCTCTTAATTTTTTTTTTTTTTGCATATTAGTGGTAGGATATAGGTAACTTTAAAGCTTATCCTACATCAAAAGCAGAGTTTATCTTGACCTTTTTAGAAGAAATGTCACTGAGTGTCTGCTTCCTGTTATACTGCTTCTGAAGGCAACAAAACTGCAGCACTACCACTGCACTCCCTGTTATAGGGTACTGACAAACCCCTCTGCTTGTGTGAGTGGACACCTACCCTAAGCCTCTTGTCAAGATTGAGGAATCTCTAATATTAGTGAGCACAGCTCTGTTCACAGTATCTCTCTTTCTGGTTCCCTTCATAGTCTGATTTCTATTATCCCTTGCCCTTTTCCCTTAAAGCCCTAACATTTCCCTGTAAAGTTCCCAGCATCTTGTCTCCCTTACCTCAGCTATAATGCACACAAGGCTGCATTATTAGGCCAAACCTTTCCCTAAGGCACAAGCAGATTATACAGTACAGCAAACAGTAGTTTTTGTATAGCCTTTCTCCCAGAACCAGTTGCATGTTTTTCCCTCAACAGAAAAGGTCAATACAAATGTAGCCTAGAGGTTGGAAAAGTGATGGGACAAGATCCCTGCAAGGAGAATTTTAGATAGGGTACTTCATGTTTACAGCTCTTTCTGCTGTGTAAAGTTTATGAACCCACTGCAATATATTTACAATAGGGCCCTACATTGACTTAAGTGAAAACTTCACCTGCAGCAACTATAAAACACTGCATTTGGACTCATTCATATTTACAGTAGCCAATTCTTCTCCCATTTAAAAAAACACTGACACTGCACCTAAACATGGTGGTGTTTCTTTTTAAGAAGATTATTATTCACTAAGAGGCATGTAAAGAGCTCTGGCAAGAAGCACTTTTTGCAAAGTTTTAAAGTTACAGAGGCAAAATTAAATCTTTTCTCAGTTTTACTATATAACTTATGAACACATGAAATAAGATGTACATTATTTCTACTCTTGTATGTATTTTCCTGTTTGTCTATTTCATCTTCCTTCTAAACTGCCTAATGAAGCAGTTGAGATTAACTTGTCTAATGCTCCTATGTAGATCCTTTTTCCTATGTTTCTTCCTACTTTGTCTCAGTAAGTCCTAGTGTTATAGGATAGTTTTTTTTAAACTTGCAGGTTAAGTATTCCTTCATTTTCATGAAACATGGTTAAACTGAAATTTGTTTAAAAATAAATATTAACAAAGACTATAGGCTCTCTTAATTTCTTACAATTAATAGGGGAGGAATTTTTTTAGTCTGAGATGCTTGAATCACGTTCTTGGTAAAGAAGACAAAGGAGCTACTTTGTCTACAACACTCATCTCTTGCAGACATGAGACCTGATCCACTCACAATAATTCCACTACCAGTAATTCTGTTGATGTGAAGAGGTACTGGATGAAGCCTATCCTTAGACTGAACACAAATCAAACCATGCCAAATCAGAACCTGAATACTTAAAAATATAGATTTGCACTGCCTTAAATGAAGTTAAAAGGCTTTGAGAAGATACTCTTACTAGATGGAAGTGTTAACATTTACAGATGTTTTTACTGCAATTTGAGAGTTTGCTTACATATTTAGTTACCACCCTATTATACCTCCTACTCAAATGGTGACACTTGTGAATGTTTAGTTTATTGCAAGACAATGTACAGTATTATATAAAAAAATATACAGAGTAGTAGACCTGAGTTTCAGAAATGGAGGGGAGGGAGAGAAGGAAAACTGATCTACAAAAATACATTCAGTAGCTTAATATACAGAGTAAGTATGTCTCATTTCAGTATTAATCTATATAATTATTATGAAGGGAACATGACTAAGGAGTAGCTCTCTTCTTTTTTCTCTTTTTGTTAAATGCTTTCTTACTTGAAGAATTTTCCTGTTGGGCACTGGTGGGAGTTCTGTGAACAAACAACATTTTAACCTAAAATAAGGCAGCATAATAAAAGACTGATGCTCCCTGCAAGTCAAGCCCCAAGTCAAAGGTTTTCAAGATCTCAGCTCTGTACATGACCCACCTACTACAACCTAATCATGTTTTACTTGTAACAGGGTTTAAAGAAAACTAAGGGAAATCCCCATCCAAACTGCAAACAACCTCAGCAACACAAATCCACATTTAACAGACAAGTCATAGTAGACTACCTTTCTAGATACCATAACTTTTATTAGCAGTGAGTTGCATGGTTCTTATAAAGAAGGGAATAAATAGGTGTTAAAAATAATACAAGCTCCTGTTGCATTAGTAGGTAGAGCTGGGAAATATGGACTCTATCCTATTCACTGGGCAGAATCCACTGTAGTACACCTGAGGAGTAGGGTAGGTGGTTCTAATCCACCCTTTTGCTAACCCGGGGTAACAGAACATCCAAATATCTGATTTAAATTGCACCAGCTGGAGCAGTCCCATCAGCACTGCTTTATTATCCCAAACACCAGATGCTTTGGCCTCAACTCATATGCAGAAGGAGGCATGGATGGCATAGAGTTGAACCTGCTAATTCAGAGCAGAGACTGTCTTTTTATTCAGTTTGTACAATAGCTAGGACAATGGGCTCCTGGTTCATGACAAGGACTCATAAGCACTACAGTAATACAAAAAAATTACACTACCCATAGATTCCCCAACATTAAGAGAATCCTTGGCTGCTCTCTTAGGCAGTGCAAAGAACCCAAAACAGGCTGAGGATCTGGCCCCATTATCTGAGTGCTTGCATTATGCTGAGGAATGTTTTCCTTGACAAGCGTAGACACAAGGAAGCATATCGTAGTTGCCGGAACTATTCCTTGTCTCAACACGGTATGCTGTTTTAAAGACACCCCCTCTCCCCCCACTTAACTACATAGTTTTGGTTACCGTGTTTTCTTCGGTCTCTCCTCTGGTTCCAGAATGACAACTTCCTCCTCTTCGCTGTCAGACAGTACAATTGTGTCGTCCTCTTACAAACAAACAAGAGAAAGCTGTTATTTATATTACTGTAGAACCCGAGTGTTGTTTTGTACATCACATTTCTTTGAGTATAAGTCATTACTACACACCTAGAGACATTTTAAAGCAGGAGGACATGTTTTTGTAACTCTAGTATGCAACTTACTCAAGGGCCAGAATCACCCTTTGAGCACAATAACTTTAAAACAACTGATACTTTATTTTAGCTGTTATAAACTGAACACTTCTATAAGAGTGGCTGAGTTTGTTTTAGTATCCTGCTGCCTCTGCCACATCTCTCAACAGTAGGTATAGGACAGAGCACCAAGACCATTCTCATCGGTTTGTCTTGTATTTTGTTTTGATTAGATACTGCCATAATGGCAACAGGCACAAAACAAAGCAGGTCTTTCCCCTAAAGCACCTTTCTTTGTTACCCTCTGGTCCCTACTAATTCCTCAGTATAGGGTTTCCCTCTTGTAAAAACTCCACCCTCTATTCCCAGCATGTCTTTCTGGGGTTGGATATTTCAATTTGGCAGATTTAAGCCATAACAGCTCTAAAGTCATTTTGCAGATGGTAGCTGCATCTTCCTGCTGGCAAGTACCTGTGGTTTCCCTTTCTTACTGCTGAGGAGAGGACACAGCTTCAAATACACCAGAATTAATACACGTGTTTTCAGTAACATCACATTTAAAGCAGATACTAACCCTTCTTAGTTTTGCTCACAACATTTATCTCTTCCGTTTCCATTTTCTGACCTTCTGAGGTGGTAGCATCATCACTGTTACCTTCTTCTTCCTCCTCTCTCTCAGATTCTTCAAGGTCTCCCCAGGAGTTCTCTAGTCCCTCCCCAATTTGGGCCGTCCCAGGCATCCGTAGTATTGGTTTGGCAAAACTGAGCTAATTAAGAAAAATTCAGGAATTGCCAGAATTCTTATTTGTACTCATTGTACAGCATGTTGGACTAGATAAATTTTTTGGAAAGTTTAAGTACCAACATACATACATAATCTGTGGTGAGTACCAAGGGCTGAGCACGTGATGTGAAGAAATTCATCTGAGCAAAATGGAAGTCAATGTTCTCTTGAATGGCTGACA